ATGTAAATATACAGAGTCTAAATATTATAAATTAAGTGATATAAAATATGTTTTTCGCTACACAGTAATAACCATGTTTCAAAAATGGAAGCTAAATCTTTAAATTTTATTTTATAATTAAATTAAAAGCATTAGTTGTATTTCATCTTCAAGCGAATATTGGGAATAACTTATTTTTAAATTTACTGAGTTTTAAACGCACACATAAGTCCATAATTTGTTGTTACGTAGGATACTGGGAAATCTAGACAAGGGGCGGTAGCCTGTTCATTTATATTAACTATTTTTGTATCAATTATAAGTTACGCTCGAGAAAGAGGTTAAGTTTAGGGAGGATAGGGGTGTATTTTTCAATTTTTTTTATCTGACATCCGTTAAATGCATGTCGTCTGGGGTTTTTTTCTATTATTAACGGCAAGAAGTGTTTAGGCATTTTTTCCTACTTGTGTAATCAAAGATTTTTTTTTGATTATTATACCAATGCAATATCTCATCTATTGAAAATCCCGAAAACATAAAAATATATATAGGTTACACAAGCTATGAGTTCAAGAAACGATTCGATCAACACCAAACTTCGATTAAGATAAATACATACAGAAATCAAACATCTCTCTCGAAGTACTTCTAGCACTTAAAAGACTCCAAGAAAGCACCTACAGTAAAATGGAAATTAATAAGAAAAGCAAGAATATGAAGATCATTAAATGACCCATGTCCTTTGTTCATATATGACAAACTATATATCACTAAGTTTATAAAAAGTGAAAATTTACTGAATCAGAGAATTGAAATAGCTATCTTTTACTGTCATTGTCAAAATTTTTCCTTAAATAATATTTAAAAATAAAATTTAAAAAAAACGCGTGCTGGTAATGTACATACTAATATTTGATAGGAAAAATAATTTTAAATAAATTAAATAATTTTGTTACATTTACTTGTTTTAAAAATTAATATAGTTTAATAGTAATTTAAAAAATATTTTAAAATTGAAGTTGAATAAAACGTATTCTAAACATCCAAAAAAAAATCTTTGAATACACAAGTAGGAAAAAAATATCGAAATGCTTTTTCCCGTTAATAATAAAAAAAAACCAGACGGCGTCCATTTAACGGATATTAAAATCCGTTGAAAAATAAACCTCTTTCTCGAACGTAACTCATAATTGATACAAAAATAGTTAATATAAATGAACACGCTAACGTCCCTTGTCTGAATGACTGGGTTTGCCTGTATCCTAGGTAACAACAAATTATGGATTTATGTAAGCGTTTAAAAATCAGTAAATTTAAAAATAAGTTACTCCCAATATTCGCTTGAAGATGAAATGAAACGAATGCTTTTGATTTAATTATAAAATTAAATTTGAAGTTTTCGGCTTCCATTTTTGAAACATGCTTATTACTAAGACTTGTATCCCTAGAGCATTATCATCTCCCCTCCAAATTAAAATAGGGTAAAAATTATTTATATTTTGGCAATAAATAACCCATAGAGGTTTATATATCGCTAAAAAAAAACCAACCACCCGACTAGGTTTATTATTCTCTACGTAAGAATTCTGTTTAGAGCAGGGAGCTGCATCAGACGATAGACAGTTATAAATATTATGACAATAAGTACATTCGAGCTTCCCGCTATCACCAGTTCTTGACGCAATACCTATGCTGATGTCGCAAGTATTTTTCTAACTTAATATTAAGCCTGATCGGTTTGATAAAGTCATATAAAAAATTACCTTCAATCTGTTGTTCATTAGGTTAAGAAATGGCTTGTTAATTTCAAAACCCCCAAAACGAAACATTTCTTAGATAACGATTTAAGCCTTCTGTTAGAATGGCTGATGCTAACCTCCAACTCACTGTGCCTTCTCGTTATAACGCTTTCTACTAACACGAAGTGGAACGATTATATTGAATCACTTGTTTGGTCTTCTGCTGCGAAAATCGGTTCACAATATGCGAGGCAATTTTTCTCGCCCGAATCTATCCTGTCTACCATTCATCCGTATATTAAATATTACTACCACGTCTAGTCTACTGCTCCGGATATTTATCTAGAGATACTTGACAGAATGGACAGAAGAAGTTACAATGCCATCGATCCTGACCGGGTTGCACGAATTTAAGTTACGGCACTGCATTCGTAAATCTAAGCAGAGTATTAAGAGACAAAGTTCGTTAGAAACAAAGAAAAGAGTACTGGACTGCTACATGTTATCTGTCTTCCTGTATGGCAGCAAATGCTGGACAATCTCCTCAAAAATGAAGAAGAGACTTGAAGCAAGAGATATCTACTTCTACATAAAAGATGTTGATGATTCCATGAACCAAACATGTTAGCAAGAACTAAGTTTTGGAGAAAATGGAAACAAAAAGGAAACTTGTACTTAACATCGGGAAGAGGAAGATGAAATGTCTTTGTGGTGAGGAAGGAAGACTTGGAAAACATGCTACAGGATAGAAGAAAACAACGCGTAACGTACTTTCTGCGATTGAGCAAATGGAAGTTAGAACAGGGTTTGGGAGAAATAATAAAAATACAAAACTTATTAAAAGCTACAAGGAACAGGAAGATGTGGAAGACCATGATCACCTACGTCGTATGGCGTATAAAAAAATTTCAATAGTAAAATCTAACTACTGATCTAATCTACTTTGAGCGGATCGGCAGTTAGATTTTACTATTGAAATTGTTAATTGAAAGCGTACATTTTATGTTAATGGTTTCTTCTCAGGCACGTTTTACTTTTGGAACGTTCTTCTGGATTCTCACTTTGATGTCAACTAAGATCTTGAAAATTTAAATGCAAACATAAATCCTTATCTGCTGTTTACTTAATTCCTTTTCTTTTAATATCCTCTCTTTATCCTGAATAAAGTTTTCTCAGTTTAATACACTCTCAATTGGATCTTGTATCTTAGCGAATTTCACGTTTTGTTTGGAGTGAAATGATTTTAAAAAATGCTTTCTCCTCAGGTGAATCCTTATATAGTAGTTGTTTTTTTTTTGTTTTTTGTTGTTTTTTTTGTTTTGTTTTTTTTTTTTGGTTTGTTTTTTTTTTTGCATAATGTTGTAAATGTTAATGTGTTGATTCCGAAGTTCGTTCACGTCACCCTAGATACTAGCTTTGCTTCCGATTGCTTAAGATCAAGGCTCAGGGTGAAGGCTACTAGATTGAAGATGAAAGAAAGCTCTATCTCCACCATTATCATTAGAGAACCTATGCCCTTTTAATGAGCCAAAACTGATGCATTTCTAATGATGTTACCTCCATAGAGTTTGCCAACTTCCTTGAAACTACATCTGTACAGCTATTTGAGATATCAATGAAGGCATCAAACATTAAGTACTGCCATTTCTCACCTAAAGTTTTTCCGAAGGTTTTTTTCAGTAGTGATTCATCTTCATCCTGTAGTGAGGGCAACAGCCTGTTTAAGAATATCCTGGTTCATAGTAGCAACTGACCTGCCACTGTGGGATCTGTCACTAGGATCATTTTCACCTTTCTCATTAACATTGTTATTGAATATATTGACTCGTCTCCTTAAGGTGCTTGCATCAAGAGCAGCGTATGAATAATTATTCATTAACTTCGTGTGAATGGATGCAAGTTTCAACTGCCAAAAAACAATTCTCTGACAAAACTTTGCTTTGTATGTGTGCTTGCCAATAATATTATTTGTTTTTTTTATATCGCAATGTTATAATCATTTTACAATCTATGACTTTAAAGTGAAAATAAAACGAGCTGAACATCGTGAAATAAAGCAAAATTAATTAAATGAAAGATAATTTTGAAATAAAAGTTAGCTAAATAGATAATGAACATAGCATGATAAATAGTGTTGCGGCATACCTACAGACGATAATGGGTATGCCTCCATTCCCATAAATACAGTAGTGAATAGAGATTTTCCAAGCGTAGCTTAGATGTGGCACAAGGCCGAAGGTATGGGGCATCCAGTGAGGATCGAACTCACTTTTCAGTAATAACTGATCTAGCAAGACAAGCTTGCTAACCATTACACGACACCGAGGTGCCCCAGTAGTGAATACATATATGTTAGTCAGTCTGCCTGCAGTGGGGAACCTCGAGGTGGTGTAATGGTGAGGAAGCTTGTCTCGCCAAAAAAGTTACGACTGAATACTGACCCATTCTTTCGGCCGTGTGCCACATCTGAGCTACGCTTTGAGCAGTCATTTAGCATTCTCTGACTGTGTGTGACTTATGTCGAACTCTCTGCTTTGGCAGAGACTAACTCGGGCGAAGCTTTGCCGCAGGGCAAAGTTTCGTCCGGTGAGGTAGACAGTGCTTGAACCCGTCCAGGCGGGTTCAAAGGGAATATTTTTGGCGGAGCCTACGGGCTCGGAGAAACCCACGTTAAACTCGGCCCTGTGCCACATACATTCTTTGTGGGGGGACTGTTAAATATAGTTAGTCGGCCTGCAGTTGGAGATTCGTCTTTTAGCGGGGCTAAGCCGAAGAGCAGTGTCTCGTCTCATGAAACACCTATCCGACCTCGTCTTGTACGGTGTCTACGGGGAATTTTGGCTGTGTCTGCAGGCTCTAAAACTCCACATTAAATTTGTTTCTGTACCACATCTGACTGCTTGGAGCAGTTGGTAGATACTGTCTGGGCTGGTTAAACTCTCTGCCTCCGGACATCTCGCAGGGCAGAATCTCGCCTCGGTAAACATCTACCAGACCTCGTTTTATTCGATGTTAACGGGGAATTTTTGGTTAAGCCTACGGCCTCGGGGACCCCACAGTAAATTCGACCCTGTGCCACATCTGACTCCGGGGGGAAGTTGGTAGATACAATTGGAAGGTCTGCAGTTGGAGATTCATTGTAGAATTCACTTGACCCACTTCTAGCCGTTGACTACTTCTTCTACGCGTCACTGATGTATCTTATATGTGTTGTTCGTGTGCTAAGTATTATTTTCCTTATCAACCTCCATGTAATTGTTCTGTTTAGTCACCTTCTCTTGGTTACAACAGATAGATAAATAGATAGTTAGGTAGGTAGATAGATAAACACACGGATAGATAGATAGATAGATAGATAGATAGATAGATAATGAACACACTGATATAGATAGATAGATAGATAGATAGATAGATAGATAGATAGATAGATAATGAACACACTGAGATAGATAGATAGATAGATAGATAATGAACACACTGAGATAGATAGATAGATAGATAGATATAATGTCTACGGGTCTTTTTTCCTGTCCAGAATTTTCCCAGTATCAGCGTGTATCTTCTAAGAGATTTGCCATTATATTCCACGATCCTTATTGATTTTACGTTGAAATTCATTGTTTTATTTACGACAGATTTACCCTTTTCATCAAAGACACTCTTCTCATTTCGAAATTTAAATGAAGCTTTCAAGGCTCCAGGCTTAATTCAATATACTTCAATAATGATTATCATGATGTATAGCAATATACTTCATGATAATTCAACATGAAAATCTTGCTCGTGTAATAATCTGGGCTGATGTTGATCTTCGTGTGGGGGTGAGGGTTCACGGTAGAAAAAGGTAATCATTTAAAGTATTATATACGTGATGAATATAAACGCTAGACCAGCAAACCGAGCACCCGATTCTGACGAAGGGCTACGAATTAAGCAGGAGCAACAGCTGTTAAAAATTCCCTTTCCCCATAGTGCTCAATCGGCAAACGAGAGCAAATCATCCACAGAAAGCCTGTTTCGCTGTATTCACGGCACATCTGTCTGGCTAGACATCCGATTTCTTCAAGTCTGGATCGAAATATACATACATAAATACACATATATATATATATATATATATATATATATATATATATATATATATATATATATATATATATATATATATACACACACACACATATATATATATATATATATGCATAAATATTCACACTTTAAAGAGCGCTCAACCATGACATTCCAACATAAAAGAAATAAATCTATAATAGATAAATTTTCACCTTCTAATGATTACTAAAGCATAACTGTCAGCCGTTGCATTTAAATGTAAAAGAAAAAATAGTAACAGATAGCTACACATAGTTTTTGCCTTACCAGTTGTAACCCTGATGATGATCTCGAAAGAAATGGAAAGGACTCGCTTCATTTGATTTTCATATACAAAAAAATACTCGTGAATATGAATGGATTATGATAAAAACAAGCAGACATAATGTTTGTAATTTATTCAATGACACACATACCTATGTGTGTGTGTGTGTGTGTGTGTGTGTGTGTGTGTGTGTGTGTGTGTGTGTGTGTGTGTGTGTACAAGTATTCATCCAAACACATCCCATTAAAAAGAACCTATTAGACATTACCATCAATACACGGCAGGAAATCCCTAAGCCTATGTGAAAATAATGTTGTCTATGAATTCTCATGCTCTGTGGTAGATTGCCTCACTAACACTAATAATAAAAATATCAAGATTAAATACGTATATTGGGCACACATACACCACACTCTCTCGCAGTTTAATTAAATATGACTGTCAGGTTACCGTGGTTAAGTTTTTTATTTAATTTTCATGTGTTATAATTTTCTTCTTTGCTGGATGTAAATTATGTAGAAATTGTTAAAATGTTTTGCCTGACTGAGAGATTTCGGTTATACTTTTAGCCATTATCATTATTTTATATTTACTTTTAACTGAATGTATATACTGTTTTATTTTTTCTCCTAGAGTTATAGGAATGTTTTGTTCAACAAAGAGGGTCAGCATATCATAGCCGTGTTCCTAGTGCGTTGGCTTTTTCTTTTTTTATTAGTAATGCTTCCATTAATTTTCGCTTTTTAAATGTGGGAAATTATATTCTATTAGTATTTTCGACGGATGGAGTTTTTTTAGGTCAACATGTGTATTTAAATGAGACCTAATTGCGCTATGACCAGAGAGACGTAACACGAGTTTTCTTGCTAGGCGAGTTGTAGTACATCCAATATAAATATTTACGAAATTGGATTGATCAGGAAAGCAAGGCGAGAAAGGTTTTAACATCGGTGTTTTCGGACACGTCTGTGCCATTTATTAACGAACCTAGGAACAAACAGAAAAATGGCAATTACCCACCGACAGAGGTTTTTCTGTAATCTGCAGAATCTATCAAATGGTGGATATTTAATAAGTATTTATCGTACTCAATATATTGGAATCTTTTTTTTTTTTTTGCTTTTTATTTTATTAACCAAATAACTATTAACTACATATTATAAGTAGCACACGTGTACCACTTTTTGTCATATATATATATATATATATATATATATATATATATATGTGTGTGTGTGTGTGTGTGTGTGTGTGTGTGTGCGTGCGTGGGTGTATTCATTTACTGTAGTCGAACAGACATTCTGCTATAAATTTCAATGTAATCCTTTTGAAGCCATTATATCTATATACACATGTATTCATTTAGTTTTCGTCGAACAGATATTCTGAAGTATATCTTGATGCAATCCTTTTAAAGTCAACACACACACATATATATATATATATATATATATATATATATATATATATATATATATATATATATATATAGATGTAAAAAGATTAATGATCGAAATAAAAGTATAAAACTTAATAAACTTAATATTACGAGCCAGTGCTTGGATGGATATTGTATAAAGGATACATTTTCCTTCGTCGACCGCATTCAAAATTTGTCGTCTTCTGGCAAGTTCATGTGCTATTTTAATGTATGTTCTCAGTATACTTGTGTCCCTCTAATGGAAACCATCGATATTTGCTGTGATTTTCTTTATCGCAGTTCACTGACTCCACCTAGTATTCCTGAGTCAATATTTTGTGAATTGATGAAATTTTCCACGTCCTCCGTCGAATTTAGTTTCAACACCAAGTACCGACAGATTGACGGAGTTGCTATGGGCTCGCCTTTGGGTCCGGCACTTACCAACATATTTGTTGGCTTTCACGAAGAAAAGATACGAAAGAGTCCACTTTGTCCTCAAATGTATTGTCGCTATGTTGATGATACCTTTTGTTTATTCAACAGTGAAGTTGAGGCTTATCAGTTTCTTTCGTTTTTAAATGGTATCCCTCCAGCACTGAGGTTTACTTTTGAGAAGGAATCCAATCTTCAATTGGCCTTTTTGGATGTATTAGTACATCGGACATTAAGTTTTTTCTCACTTCTGTTTATAGAAAACCTACTTTGCAGGGTTGTATACGCGTTGGGACTCTTTTGTCCCACTAAGCGCAAGATTAACATTAAAAACCCTCCTACATAGAGCATTAAAGATCTGCTCTGAGCCCTTCTTGAACGACGAAATCGACTTTATTAAGGATACCCTATGTAATTTGGGTTATCCTCTTGATCCTGTTAATTCAGTTATCCGCAGTAAAGTTGAAGAGTTCAGAAGTGCCGAGCTCTACACTGTTAAAAAATACCCAGTTTACCTCAGATTACCCTGGATTGGTACCAAATGTGAAAAAATAGCTAAACAAATTTCATCCAATGTTCGTCGTTGTTTTTTCTCTGACGAAGTTCGGATTATTTTTCAAAATCGGCCAATGTTTCGATCTGCGTGTAAAGACGTTCTCCCTCCCCATCAAATTAATTCAATTATTTATAAATACGTTTGTAGTTGAGGAGCAGACTACATAGGGAGAACAACTCAACGCTTAGACATGAGAATAAAACAACACGTTCCTACAAAAATTAGAAATCACACCTTGCCGCTGAATGGACTCGTCCCAAACACCAATGGTTCCGCCATATGCGAACACCTATTAAAGTACAGAGATTGTGCAGCCAAATTTAGTGTTGACTAGTACAGTCTGAAGTCGGACGTCCGGCTGACCGGCTGATCGGTTGAACTCTCTGCCTTCGGGCGGCGAGGAACCCGAACGAGTCTACGCCGAAGGGCGGGAGTCTCTTTCGGAGAGGTAAACCGAACCTGAACCCGTTTATACGGTTCAAAGGACATATTTTTGGCCGAGCCCATGGGCTCGGAGATCCCATGTTAAACCGGCCTAGTGCCACATGATACCCTCGTGGTGGGGTGACTGGTTCACAAACTTCAATCTTCCATGAATCTTGTACATAAGCAGTAAATACGACCTTGCCTGCAGAACGCTCCTTTGTGGCCGAGAGGTTAGGCACGTCAGCGTAAATGACGGTCCCGTATAGGATGCAGGTTCGAATCCTGTCAAAGGACGTATATTTTCTATGAAAATTTCTCGGACATTCAGGCCGGTAAATGTTATTTAATACTGTTTATTATAAACAGAGCATTTACTTAAATACTTGTATCTATAAAAAAGAATGTTAAACATAAAAATGTCTTTAATATACATATATATGTATTCACTTAGTTTAATCGAACGGACAATCTGCAGTATATCTAAATGCAATCCTTTGAAAGCTAATAAACAGGTTTCTTTAATAGTCTTTGTTTAACTTATTCAAAAGACTCGCTTTTCTTATTCAAAAGACTTTACTAATGTTGGTTTTTCCTTGATTTTTCGATTGATTTGGTGCCTTCTCATTCGCATCCTCTGTCTTTTCGGTTTCTGTTATGGCTGCCAGGCTCCTTTCAACTTTTTTCTCTCCACACGAAGTCAGAAATTGTCAATGTTTTTCCCATACTCTCAAACAATTGTGAATATTTTTTGTCCTTTGTGCTGGCGGCAATTGTATGAAACAATTTAATTGCCTAATCGGCTGATTGACCAATTAATGCCAAGGAAGTTTAAAAAGAAAAATAAAGATCAAATTTTAAATCGATTGTGCTAGACTGTCTCTAAGGTAAAACTTTGCAAGATTTTTTTTTTTTTAATTCGATTAGTCTTCACCAAGTTTCTGTTTTTACATTACTCTTCTAACGTGACTGCTGAATTTCGAGAGGCAAGAAACAAATCTATATCAACACGCACAGTGAGAAGAAGGCTCACAGAAGCTGGCCTCAAAGGATGTAAAACTAGAAAACCATTG